TTTTGCTTAGCCCTTCAACAATTGTAGAACACATAGACTGTTTCCAAGTTTTTAACTTATTTTAACAAGTATTTTAACAAATAATATGTGAGCAACTTTGAACATTCAGTTTCTCTTTCCTTTTGAATTATTTCTTTGCTATGAGTTCTGAAGTGCAGAATTTGCCCGAGAGGTCAGAGTATTTTTATAGCCCTCAATATTTTATTGCCGAAGAGAGTGTTCATGGATTAACTCCCCATTGTGTTGCAGTAACCACCATCCTGACTGACCCCAACCCCATCTGGCTGGTGGGAAGGGCTGCAGAAGCTCCATTTGTTATTAATGCTGTCATCCGATACCCCATGGAAGTCATCTCATATCCTTTCTGTTAAAGGGTCAACAGTAGCTGGGTTTCAAAAAAGGAAGGGATTCCTCAGTTGTCCCAGGAAGGAACAGATGTGGGAAGCCTCAGACTGGAAATTGCTGCATTTGTAGCCCCCACGCAAATGACTGTCTGTCTGCAGTTCATACAGGAAAAAATATTCATTTCCTGTTCATATTTCTTCTTGAGTAATTCTTCTAGATCAGAATCATCCATATTTATGTCTTAATAATCTTTTATTATCTCTTTTATCTTAAGGGTATTTGAAACATTTTTGCCATTTTCTGTCTAAACTAACCCTTTGGTTTAACATTTCCTTAGAAAATGTCATCTGTGATTCCTTAACTGTTTGTACTTATCTACCAGGATTCTGGGAAATGATAAAGTTTGCTTGGATCCAGTATGTCAGTATCCTACTTATCTTCCTCTGGGTATTTGAAAGAATCAAAAGATTTGTGTTTCAAAATCAGGTGGTGACCACAATCCCTGTAACAGCAGTGCCCCAGGGAGAACTGTATAAGGAGCATTTATCTTAAGAAGACCCTGTCTGAAAACTCTAAGCTACCTCACTGTTGTCTTCTGAGGACTGTCATCTTACGAAATTTCTGAAAAGAGCCTGTGGACACTTGCCCAACTTGCCCACGTGTGTGCTTTTCCTATCAGAGACAAAGAACATTCCTTTCTAATTTCCCTCTACACAAATTCTATATTTTCTACGCGCCTACAAAAATAATCACGGACTAGGTTGTGGAAATGTTTCTGAGGGTTCCTGAAGGCTATAATTGCTTTTGTTTTTTGTCTCTGACTTGAATTTCAGGAGAAAACTACAGTCAGTTCAGAGAGCTTGGAAAGAGTCCCATCTCTGGTCAAGCAAAGACTTTTCCTCTCTTGAACTGAGAAACATGCTATGTATTTCTTCCCCCTATTGTAAACCACGTTTTACTCTTTTCAGGGCTCTCTGGTGATAGATATGCAAATCATCAGCACTTTCCACTCCTGGGCATCTAAATTTCCCATTCAGAACTGATTTCCAGCACTGAGAGGCCTTTAACTGGAGATCTGGAGAGTGAGAAAGGGAGCGCTCCAGAGCACATGTGTGCACGTGCGGGAGGGTGGGCGACTTGAGGACACTAGGACCATCCATCCACCTGCCCCGAGTCTAACAGACAGTCATCTGTCGGTAGCTCAGCTGAACAGCCCTTTATCCCTGCCCTGCTGTGGCTGGCTCTTTGCCCTCTGTCTGGGCCCCTGGAATAGCAGGCTGCAGTCAGAAGTGCTGTTCCTTTCACAAGCCCCTCAGCAACAGTGGGGGAAGTAAGGAGTGTAACAACAGGTTTCTTTCTCTTTGGCCCTCACCCAACACCCTGGACGCTTGCCACTCCTTCTTGACAGCCCTCCCCCTTCTTGAAAAGGACATGGGTGACAGAGGAGCTGTTGTTGGTATTGGCTCCCACTGCCTGACAACCACAGAGTTTACTTGGAGGGCTAGCGGGAAGCCCAGCTAATTGTGTTTCCCTCGACTAAGGAACAGGGTGCCCATCAGAGTGGGCCGCTTTGGAGAGGACACACAAGGAGCAGGGAGGGGATAAAGAGGATGCTAGCCCAGGCAGCCCAATCCGGGCCTGGCCTTTAGTAGAATGACACGCAGTCCAGCCAGATTACCCTCATGACTAAGTGAGTGTCTGCCGAAGAGACCGCTGGAATGGGCCTCTGTTGCAGAGAATTCTCCATTCTCGCCCTGAGGACACCTGGACCTGCTTTATGATACCGAGATATCACTGGCACTGGAAGGACATGCCCTCTGTGATCCACGCTTCACTCCCATCCACACACACACTCCTGAGTGCATGCCTCAGTTTACCCTGGAGACTCAGTTTTTATTTCCCAAGCACCTTTTCATTCAGACTGACCAAAATAAGAGTTTTGGAAACAAACCTGTTTTGAAGTATCCAAGCACCAAAATATCCTAATACTGACCCCTCTGCTTTTTCTTTTAATATTTTGGGCTGTTTATATGCCTAAAGTTTTTTTCTTGAGATTTAAATAAATAAATGGTTTCTGGTTTGAATCACCAAAAGGTAATGAGTATGGAAAGATAGCTGAAGATGTGTATAAACATGGCTTTGCATTTTATTACATTATTTTCATGCAAAATGTGTATAAAGAACCATGATGTTTTGTAACTTTATAATTAAAATGTTCAAACTGGAAGGTTGCATGTGGCTCTTTAGAGGGAGAGTATTTGGAAAGGGGAGGATGGGGAGGGCAGAGGTTGTGCACACTTCTTGGGGTTACTCACCAGCAGCCTTGCTTTGCCAGGGCTCTGCCCAAAAACCTTGGAGCTTTTGTTAGCTCTTCGCAAAACGCTTGTGGCCCTGCCCCAAGTAAATGCGAAGTTTTGGTGAAATCCACATGGCGTGTGGAAACCACAGGCTGGAAAATTACAACTGCGTCTGGTGAATATTAGATTATTTACAGATCAGATGTTGGTAGCTTCTGAACCTGAATCACACCTTATAGCTGAAAGAGGGGAAAAATGGAAATATACAGGATATTATCAATTGGACTGTAACCCATCACTACATCATGGTTTGAGACAATTAATATTTGGCAGGGGGGAATCCCTTATTTTGCCAAATGATTTTCCAGTTTCTGTTTGAATCAGGTGAGGTCCCATCATGTAAGACTGATAAAGCAATTAATAAAGCTTTCTTCCTTTCTCTTCATGTTCATGCTTTGTAAAAGAAGTTTTGGTTCTTTGTGACCACATAAGTTCTAAATGCCTATTGGGGGAAATGTGTAATTACAGAAACCTAAAGAAAATAAGTTGTCTGTAAATTGCTCCCTAGAAGTTATCACTGTTGGCTTTCTGATACACATCTTTTTAATCTTTTGTTTCTAATATTTTTTGCTATCATAAACAACACATCTATGAACCTTGCTTATAAATCCTTTTTGCTAGTTTATTTTCTTTAGATCCTAGAAAGAAATTATGAATTCAAAAGCTTATGATGTTCTCAAGGATTTTTTTAAATATATTTACTTTATGTATTTATTTTTGGCTGCGTTAGGTCTTTGTTGCTGTGTGGGTCTCCTTGTGGTGAGCGGGGGCTACTCTTCATTGCGGTGCTCGGGCTTCTCATTGCGGTGGCTTCTCTTGTTGCGGAGCACGGGCTCTAGGTGCGCGGACTTCAGTAGTTGTGGCTTGCCGGCTCTAGAGTACAGGCTCAGTAGTTGTGGCCCAGGGGCTTAGTTGCTCCGCAGCATGTGGGCTCTTCCCTGACCAGGGCTCGAACTCATGTCCCCTGCATTGGCAGGCGGATTCTTAACCACTGCACCACCAGGGAAGCCCGTTCATAAGGATTTTAATTCATCTTGCCAAACCGCATCCTGGAAAGAATGCACTAATTTATACTTCCAGCGGCAGAGATTTCTTTTAGATCCCACAGCTGATTACAAGAGGTCAGAATTCTCTTTCTTTTTCAGGTGCTTGGACTCTGCTCCGTTATTTGTTGGAGGAAATAGCATATTTATTTATTGAAACATACCCTGTATTTATCGGGACCTGCTATCAAGCTGAGGCTAGAGCAGGGAGGGGACAGAAAGAGGGGCACAGCCAGCTGCAGGCCTAGCTCCTGAGGGCCACCTGGTGTCCAGGCCCCCAGCTCGGCTACTACCCGGGGAGGCCGCGCGGATCCGCCTGGCATCAAGGTGCCTGAGGCTTGGTTTAGGGCTGAGGCTGGGGGCTTGGGAAGCGGTTTGGATTCCAAGTCCTTTCGCTGTGAGGATGCCACCGAGAAGGAGGAGGGGCAAAATTAAGATTCGATTTCCTTCACAAGGGCCTTTTGTGTTCCCAGTAGCCTCCCTTCTCTGGGGATTGGAGGGGGAAGACAACTTTTTGGTCAATTAGTGGGATGAGAGCTGACTCTGCGAGCGCCCTCTGACATCCTTGGCCAAGCCGGGCGCCCCCGGCAGCCCCTCGGGCCCACCTGTGCCCTCCTTCCCCGGGGCTCGCCCGCCCCCGCCGCTGGACGGCCGCCCCTCCCCCGAGGCGTGGCCCCTCCGCCCGAGGTGGGCAGGGTAGCCGGAGCCGGGGGCCAACCGGCTTTTTCCTTCCTTCCCTCCCGCTCCGGCTCCCGCCCGCCGGCTCCGGGACCGCAGCCACGTCTGAAAGCGCCTCATTGTGCGCGCTCCGCTCGGGCCGGCAGCGCAGAGCAGCGCCGCGGGCCCCCGGCGGCCGCCCAGGTAGCGCGGGGCGCGGGGCCGGGCACCCAGGGGGCTCCGGGGCAGGAGGGCCCGAGTCTGTTTCTTGTCCTTGCCCTGGGACTGCTCCGCCAACATCGCCTTCTTACGACACCTCTCTTTTTTCAGGGGGAATCCTGCCCTGTTTGCTGGTTCCCGCCGCCTTGGGTCTCCAGGTGCCTCCAATATCTTGGTATCCGCTTCGCAAGTCCATGTCTCTTGGAGCCGTCTCCCTGGTGTCACTGGGTGCCCCTTCATAGCCTTGGGACCCTGCGGAACAAATCAGCCGCAGCGGACTCTCCCGGCGAGGAGACAGAGCGGCTGTGGAGAGGAGCTTGGAAAAGACGTCCTGGAGCCTTTGCTGAGACTGGGACCAGAGGCGTCTGCCTCCCGCCGCGCCAGTCGGACTGGGACGCCTCGCTTGGGGTACGTTGGTTCGTCCTCTCTCCGCTCGGGATGCCCACACCCTGCGCGGCCTGGGCCTAAGCCAGTGTGGCACAGCTGGGAAGGCCCTGATCTTGCAGCCGGGTCGGCTGTGCGAGTTGGAGCTGAGGGTGGTGGTTGTGGTTTTATCAGAACGTGAAAAGAGCATCGCCGCCCCGAGTGCGGGTTGGAAAGTGTCTTCCTGGGGCTTCAGCTGCCCAGGAGATCACTGCTTGGGGATCCCTTGTCTCTTGAAATTTGAGTTTCAAAGGGTATGGCTTTAATCTAGAAATTCTCCGAGGGCTTTTTCCAGGGAACTCTGGAGGAAAAGCAGCTCGGTGAGTGAATTTGGAACCAGATCCAGCTGAATGTGAGTCTGGCGGCCCCTGCTTCTCGCTGCTGGATCTTGGGCAGCAATAGAGACCTCTCTCGGCCTCAGCGTAGGTGCCCAGCAAATGTTAACTCTCTTTCGTCTTCCCTCTTGTACGGGAGGCATGAGGATGGGAAAACTGAGGCCTCAAGAGCAGAAAGGACTTGGCTGAGGTGAAGCCATGAGCGAGTGAGCCAAGTACCAGAGCATAAGAGCATGCTGCTCAGGGAGCGTTGGCTATGCTAAGGGTTGGATTGTTCCATTTACTCCTCCCAGACCCGTGTGGTAGGCGCTGTTAGAGCCTCGTTTACAAAGGAGCCAACTGAAGCACAGAGAGGTTAGGAGTGACCTGCTCAAAGTCACACACCTCACTGGTGGTAGAGTGAGATTTTAACCCAATCTGGCTTCAGGAGCCAGGCTTTTAGCCATTATTCACTGTCTTCTGTTTTGTATGTAATGCCCCTGCCTAGGCTTGCCACTTTCTGCGGCTAGGGTGCTAGGGTCACTTGGACCTGGTTAGGCTATTGTCCTTGAGCTTTGCTTATGAAAAGGCTTTCCCTTGGATTCACAGAATATAGTTGTGACCCAGGATTTGGGAGATTCCTGAACAAATACTTACAAGTGTACTATGTGCCAGACATTGTTCTGAGTGCTTTATAAATATTAATTCATTTACTCTTCAAATCAAGCCCATGAGTTAGGTTATATTATTTCCCCTATTTATAGATTTTTAAAAAGAGGCACAGAGACGTTAAGTCACTTGCCCAAGATCACACAGTAAGTGATCAAGTAGAGTTCACACTCTTAGCCCCTGTGCTGCTCCTACGCCCTCTAATGAGATAGGGCCCCACTTCTAGTCTAGTAAGGGGAGTTAGGTACAGAAATGCATGAACAAGAGTATTCTGGGTGGTGATAGTAGCATTAACAATGATTTCCCCATATCACCTAATACTCAGTCCACATTAAAATTTCTCTGATTACCTCACAGATATCTTTTTGCACTGGGTTTGTTCGAATCAGAATCCAAACAAGGTCCACATGTTGTCTTTGGCTGTTTTGTGTTTTGAGTTGTTTTCTTCTAAAACAGTCCCCTCCTTTTTTCATTTTATGTCATTGACTTGTAAGAATGATTTACTTTTTAAAAATAAATGAATCAAAATAAGAGATTAAAAAATAAACCAGAGGACACTCCAGACTATCCCTGTATATATAAGAGAGCTCAGTCCACACCTGGGGGAACACAAAGGAATGTGCAAAACATGCACCCTCTACACCCATTCCCTGTGTGTGTTACTGCAGAGAAGAGGTGGGTGCCCCAGACTTTAGGGTACTTCAGCCATCAGGTGCTGTGATTTAGACCAACTTAGGTGCTGTGTAAGGTGTGCTTTGAGAATCCCCAAAGCTCAGAGCCAGGGAAAAGGGATTTATGCGTTGATATCTGCTCATCTGCTCTGAAATGCCCCCGGGGTGGCTCTGAGCCAAGGAGGCTTGAGGCTCCTTTCCCAGACTAATTTGATTTCATTTCCCAATAGATTCTTGCAGGCAGATCTGTTTTCTCCAGCAGCATCCGGGTGTGCAACTGTAGCCTCCCTGCCTCTGGCTGATGCCACACAGCTGCTCCTCGGGGCAGGCGCAGAGACGGCAGATGTGGCCAGGGCTTAGGGCCAGGCACACCTCCTGCCACAGCCTGGCCCAGCCCACAGCCCTGAGGCTGAGTGTGGGCTAGGGGCCCTTGACAAGCCCCTCAGGTAGTTCCTTCCCATGCCCCTCTCCTCTGGCCACCTGGGTACTCAGGTCAGGTGGGAGATGGTTTGCAGGCACCTCTCTCCCTGCAATGAAAGCTGAAGTAGGCAAACTCCACCCATGCCTCCTTGAACCAATGAAATAGAACTGATAATTTATGATTGACAAAGTAATAAAAGTCTCTTGGAGACCACCTGGAAAATGCAGCAAAGCAATAACAAGAAAAAAAATTACCAGTAATCTGGCCATAAAAAGATAGCCACTGATATTCAGCATGCATCCTTCTGGATTTCTTTCTATACATAGTCATGACTTTTGTTTTTTAATAACAGCTTTATTGAGATATAATTCACATACTTTAAAGTTCACCCTTTTAAAGTTTCCAATTCATTGGTTTACAGTAGATTCAGTGTTGTGCGTTAATCGCCTCAAGGTTCATCCATGTTGTAGCACATATCAGTATTCTTTTTATTGCCAGATAATATTCAGTTATATGGGTACACCCCATTTTGTTTATCCATTCGTCGATTGATGGACGTGTAGGATGTTTCCACTTTGGGGCTATTATGATTAATGCTGCTGTGAAAGTTCATGAAGAAGTTTTTGTGTGGATATATGTTTTCAGTTCTCTTGGATTTATGGTATTGTAGCGTGGAATCACTGGATCACATCGTAGCTCTATGATTATCTGAGGGACTACCTGTTTTCCACAGCAACTGCACCATTTTACATTCCCACCAGCAGCATATGAGGGCTCCAGTTCTACCATGTTCTCAGTAACACTTGCTATTATTCGTCTTTTCTCTTATAGTCAACCTAGTGGATGGGTATCTCATTGTAGTTTTTTTTTTTTTTTTTCGGAACGCGGGCCTCTCACTGTTGTGGCCTCTCCCGTTGTGGAGCACAGGCTCTGGACGCGCAGGCTCAGCGGCCATGGCTCACGGACCCAGCCACTCCGTGGCATGTGGGATCTTCCCGGACCGGGGCATGAACCCGTGTCCCCTGCGTAGGCAGGCGGACTCTCAACCACTGCGCCACTAGGGAAGCCCATCCTTTCAGTTTCTTGATGGTGTTCTTTGATGTTCATGTATTTTTAACACAGTTGGATGTTTTGTTGTGTTTTTTCCACTTGATATTATATAGTGAAGTGCTCTAAAGTTAGACAGTTGGGGTTCATATTCTGACTTTGCTGCTGTGTGGGTCATTTAGGCAAGTTCATAAATCTTTCTAAGCCTCAGTTTCCTCTTCTGTAAAATAGGGATAAGCATCAGATGCACTTCATAGGGTTGTTGTGGGGTAATCCTGATTTCATAATCAGAAGATGGGTGGGAAAGGCTTGGCATATAGGAACCCCTCAACAGGTAGTATTAACTGGTGTTCCATGTTTCCCACTCCACTGTAGACACCCATCTTTCTCCTCCTCTCTCTCCCCTTTTCTCCCTTACTGCTTTTCCCTTGTCTCTTGCTTTTCTTTTCTCTTTCCCTCTTCGTCTCTCCTCCTCTTTCTTGCCCTCCTTGTCAGCCTTCTCCGTAACAGATGCCTTGGCCTCCACTAGAGCTGGTTTGCCTACAGGGATGGCCCTTGACGCCTAGAGTCCACGCATCCCTCATCCGGAATCTCTTTTCTTTAGCCTTTGGGATTCCTGAACAGGGATGGCCTCCAGCTGATGCCAAAATGAGATAGATCTGAGCCAGGGATTTGTACCTAGTATTACCTTTCACTCCCTTAGATTCTGTGCCAGGGCTGGGAGAGGCTGGTGACCAGAGGAGCTGCTGAGTCAAGGGCAGGCAGAGCAGAGCTACAAGTGAGTGCTGCCCAGAGAGCTGGATCCCTGGGCTCCCGCTCGGGCCCTGCTGTGGCAAAGCCTCCCCTGTCCTGTAGCTCAGTGTTCCCATCTGCACATCAGGTAGGACAATAGCACCTTCCTGTGTCTCTCAGGCCAAGAATTAGTCAGGGATGGTTAGAAGCTATCGAAACTTTAAGATGCTCAGCAGAAAGAAATATGGGACAAGTGGGGAGTTACTCCCTTTGGATTTGGATAACAGAGGACCTGATATCAATTCAGCAAATATTTATTTTTATTTTGTTTATTTATTTATTTATTTTTGGCTGCATTGGGTCTTCGGTGCTGCGCGTGAGCTTCCCCTAGTTGCAGGGAGCGGGGGCTACTCTTCCGCTGTGGTGCATGGGCTTCTCATTGTGGTGGCTTCTCTTGTGGCGGAGCACAGGCTCTAGGTGTACGGGCTCAGTAGTTGGGGCTTGTGGGCTGTAGAGCGCAGACTCAGCAGTTGTGACACACGGGCTTAGTTGCTCCAAGGCATGTGGGATCTTCCTGGACCAGGGCTCAAACCCATGTCCCCTGCATTGGCAGGCGGATTCTTAACCATTGCGCCACCAGGGAAGCCCCAGCAGATACTTATTAGTATCATCGACTCACTCACGCTTTGGGACAATCCCTGACATGACGCTTAACTATTTTATCAGGCAGGATTCTTTTTTTTTTTTTTTCTGGTACGCAGGCCTCTCACTGTTGTGGCCTCTCCCGTTGCGGAGCACAGGCTCCAGATGCCCAGGCTCAGTGGCCATGGCTCATGGGCCCAGCCGCTCCATGGCATGTGGGATCTTCCCGGACTGGGACACAAACCCGTGTCCCCTGCATCAGCAGGCAGACTCTCAACCACCGCTGCACCAGGGAAGCCCCGTCAGGCAGGATTCTTAACGTTTTTTTTTTAAAGCAATCCAGTGATTTTAATGTTAGGTTGTTTTTTGTTTGGAAAAAATAAGAGGTTACTTTACAGTCTCTGCTTCCTGAAATGTGGTGTCAGCCTTAAATAGCTGGGTCATTTTTTTTTAATTTTTTTTTTTAATTTTTGTGGCTATGGTGGATCT